CTCTCTCTCTCTCTCTCTCTCTCTCTCTCTCTCTCTTCCGCCGTAGCGGTATCTTCAGCGCAGCAGGTAAGTAACCAATCTTGTATCACTCATGTCTCTCTCTCTCTCACTCTCTCTCTCTCTTCGTAGTGGTCGTCTTGTTGCAGGTGCGCGGCGTCTTCTTCCACCTCGAGGTCCGCTATGGCGGACTGCCTCCTCCGGCGGTAACTTCAGCTATGGCACATCTGCCCTGCACACCTCGCGCACGTGGAACAGCGAGTACCTGCTCCGATACCAGTGCATTCAGACTCGACTTCTTCACACTTGTCATGCATGCAAACAGCAAAACAGCAAACTGGCGACATGCGCCCACACAGTACTCAAGATATCGTAACCAGGTAGGAGTTCTCTTCAACTGGCTATGGCGACTGAGCGCCCACACTACTCACTGTTCACACTCTGGATCACCCTGGATGTCCCACACGCAACACTCTACACGCAACACACACACACACACACACGCTACTATAGCTATGGCAGCTATGGCTGCCACTATCCTATCGCTACACTACACTTCACTGCCCTCTTCGTCTTCGGGCGCACTGCAGACCTCCTCGCACAAGCTGCTGGGGCAGCGCTTCCGCATGGCATCCGCAGGAATGAATGAMTGGCTGGACGCAGCCTCTTGATTTTTACTTCTGCGCTGCGTTGGTCTGCCCTGTATCCCTTGGCCCCCGATGTGCACACAGTCCCAGACGGTACTTGCTGAACAGGACCGGACTGACTAACTGGGACTGCTGACTGGGCTAGGTGGGCTASCACYACTTGACCACTTGCCTCTGCTGAACACAGGCCAACTCCGAAAGGCCACTTCTAGAAGTCTCGAACTTRGCCTTTCGGCACTGTAGCAGCTACRACTTTGCCCTTTCAGGTAAGTAGCAGCTACGACCTTGACTCTTCAGGCATCCTACAGCTACGACTTTGGAACTGTCTAGACTCCTACCCTACAGGTCTACAGTTCGATTCCCTTCTAAGCTGTGACCTACGAAACCCTGCCTACCACTGGCGATCCTACAGGTCGCGGGTTCAAGTCTACGGGTTGACATCAATACCGTACACAGGTAAGATAGGGAACTAGGGATCGAGCCCTGGGGTCTGCATTCGCTACTGCGAACTGGTGATTACCGTTTCAAATCTGTTCTGATCAGTTTAATATCTGATCCGTGGTCCATCGGAAAAAAAAAAAGAAAAAAAAAAGAAGAACAGCATCATTTATGTCAAGCGCAGCATGAACAATTCAGACCCACAACAACAGAGGCATCAGATCTGCCACAAAAAACATGATCAAAGCGGCTCTGGACCCGCCACACAAACACGACTGATGGAGTCAGATTCGCCACACTAACACGATAAGAGGAACGAACACTTGATAGTAGTTGATACCCAAGCCGTCAGCTCAGAGTCGTCAACTTCTCCGACTCAACTGTAGGCTTCAAGGAACAACATAATTTTTTTATTTTATTTTATTTTTTTACTTTTGTCAAGCATGCGAAAACAGTTCGGAATCAAAACGAGAGGAGAGCCGTTTAATCCGCCACAAAAACGCGATCAGATTACCGAACGTACGTGTCTACTCCCAGATCGTACCCGCACCTCACGTTGACAAACCCGTTCATCTGCGCCCCGTAGACATGGTTGGGGGTTGACCAACCCCCTTTCACGACAGGCGGTGGTCCCCACCTTGGATTCGTCTTTTTTTTATTTTTATTTTTTTTGTCCCTGAAAGGATGGCGGCCTTGAAATATCATGGTCATCATTGCACTGACCGGCCCCTGATCAGTCAGAGTTATCCGAATCTGTTCATCTGGTTGCATCTGGATTCGAACTTGGGGTCTATATTTCAACAGTTCATGGGTGTACCAACTGGGCTACGCCACTCTCTAGACATT